TAAATGTTACTTATTTTTTTTTTACAGTGTATTCTAAGAGGGCTGGAAGTTGTGTTTAAGGCAAATGGTTGTAAAACACCTTAACTTCCAAGGTTTTAACATTATGTTGATCTACCCCTGTATATATAAAACCCAGAAATTGCAGTTATTGTTTTGCCAGCAATAACAGGTGTTTCCACACACTACAGCTCCAGAAATCAAATGAAATTGATGAAAATTGATCAACTTTTTACCATGAGGACATTTTTATATTTCCACATACAGCTGTCTTAAAAATGATTGAGATCCTGTTTGAGTTAAAGAGTCCAGCTTTTTTATTTTTTCTGAATTATACAGTAAAATGATGACCGTGAACTACAGTATATACCATGGGTTTAGCACGATCACTGGACGTTACACTTTCAAACTGCTGTAAAATGTGCAACAGGTTAAATGTAATATAATTTTGTAAAATGTATCCACAGGTATGCTTTTTTATTTGTTTAGTTAACAGGGATATTTTACATTAATAAAACATTTATGTAAGTGTACCAGAATTAGCCAAAGGCTATTTTTCATCCGTAGTCCCTTCATGAGACCGGGCCATTTACTGAACCTACATCGTACAAAAGAAAGAGAGAAAAAATGATATCGCTTATAATAGCCACTCTTTCATTAAAATACAGCAAAATGTAGCCGGAGCAACATATATATTTTTACGTATTTCCAATGAGTCTGGATGGCATGGATTGTATTTGTTGTGTTCTAGATTTGAAGTGCATCTTCTTTACTTACTATTTAAATAAATATGCAATAAACACTTGTGCCTCACTGTCCTCCTCAAAATCCACATGCCTGTGATGTTATCATTTAAAAATGACTGCATAATTACGTCCGTTTAATTATGTTAAATTATGTAATTTATTTTGCACTATAGAGAAATCTCAATCCAGAGATCTGTGATTTGTTCTTCTGTTCAAAAACAAAGGGGAAGATCAATTTGTTGTTAAAAAGCTGAGAGCTAATCAGGTAAGACGGACATTTTGGTTGTAATATTATTTAAATTTTTTGCATTGCATTAACTTATAATGATATTTAAAGACAGCAATTCTGACTCTTGTGTCTGTCTGTTTTCAGAATGATGTTCCAAATTTTCTCCAAAAGCTCATCCACATATAGTCGAACACAAGGATATCATCACAGGTTAAAAGAACATTTACATTGTTAAACCTTCCTAAGCTACATTCAGGGCTACATATTCACCATCAAATATTAATATATGATTTAAGTACACAGTTATGCATTAATCTGCTTTCAGATCGTGACTGCTTGTATCTTGTAATGGAGCTCTGTGAGGGTGGAGATCTCGCTCAGAAAATCAAGGACAAAAAGGAAGGAAATGGGAATTTCTTTGTGAAAAAGGTATGTTTGTGGATACAGATGGTGAAATGTAATAGATTACTATGACTTAGGGAATTCATTTTTAATTGGCAGTTGCTCCCATCTAAAGAAGACAGCTGGATGAGAAAGAACTTAAAATGTAAAGTTATATGTAAACAGGAGCTAATATTGTGATTTTGTTGCGGTGTTCATGTTGTTGTAAGGATGATGGTTTTCTATATTTCTTTATTTTATTAATCTAGGATGAGACTTGATCATTGGGGAATTCATTAGATAGTTTGCTATCGGTCAATCTCATATATGAGTTACAGGTTGTTGCACCAAAAACATGTAATCAGAGAAAATAGAAGAGAGTTCGTTGCAAGAGGGTGGGGAAGTTGTTTTGTTTCAATATTATAAGACACGTGAATTTAAAACGATGACGTGAATTGATAAATAATTCATAATAAACACCACAATATTCCATTACGAAAATGTCAATTTTGGTTTCATGTGACATTAAACTAATCATTAAAGGGGTCATATGCTGCTTTTTTAAAGATCATTATTTTTAGTCTTTGCAACTTCAGGGATCTTATCTATGCACAATCAGCTTGTAACACTCCAAAGAGAAAGGAAAACTTGAAATCGCATCATATGACCCCTTTAAGCAAATTGTAATCTTCAACTCAAATCACATTACAAGCATTGATCTGACAGTCTAACATAAGCATAATAATTTTTTAAAGGTCCAAACAATGAACTACACATCTCAAAGCATTGCATCCAAATTAAAACTTAATTTGTGCCATTTGTAGTACAATAATCGCAGCATTAAACACAATCTTTAAAAATCATACATTATTTTAGCACATTCAAAGATGTGCGCTTGTATTAAATCAGAAAAAACAACCTAACCCTAACAATCAAGATACTTCTGAGAAACCATTTGTGAAGCAAATATTTCTGTTATGTCTGAGCAAAATGCTTGTATCCTTTCAGCTCATCAGGACTAACAACGTATTTATAATAGCAGTGAACTGATAACTGATAAGAAGTACATTCATGGTTGAGGTTTTTACTTTTGGTTTGTATTTGGGTCTGTTGAGATATTTGGGGAAAATGTTGCATAAAAGGATGAACAGTCAAACCAAAATTTATTCAGGCACCTTCAACATTTCTCACGTTATCACAGTTTATTCGCTATAGTTTAGAAAATGGTAATAAAATATGACAAGAACTCAGAGTTAAACTGTGTCAGAACAAATTAATCTTGATAATGTCAGATAACTTTGATAGAAAGGTATGTAATGAATTCGGTTGAATTGCTGTCAGCTGTAAAATTTAAGAACACCAATTTAGCAATTCCAGTTTAGGTCAACCAATTACCAAGCAATGCTTCATTTTGTTCATTCTGTGGTATAAAAAGGTTGAATTAGCAATTATATAAAATTAGCAATTAATGAAACAACACTTAAGCAAAACATGATCAAGTCAAAATTCTGAATAATTTTTGGCAAGAACAAAGGAGATCTCTGAGGACCAGAGACTTGTTATTTGGTAAAATAACTTGTGTGATTGGGGTCGTTGTCTTGCTGCATGATCAACTTTCTCCTGAGATTCATTTCACGGACTGGCCTGGCCCAGATGCAGCAAAACAGGCCCAAACCATGATACTACCACCACCACGTTTCACAAATGGGATAAGGTTCTTATGCTGGAATGCAGTGTTTTCCTTTCTCTAAACATAACACTTCTCATTTAAACCAGAAAGTTCTATTTTGGTCTCATCCATCCACAAAACATCTCTCCAATAGCCCTCTGGCTTGTCCACATGATCTTTAGCAAAAACTGCAGATGTGAGCTGTGGCTTTTAAAGGACAAATTATGATTCAATAGATGCTTTGCAGGAGAGGGATTTTGTATACGCCCTCTTCTATATAATTGAGTGCTTTATGATTTTGCGGGGCCGAGAAACGGGTGAAGAATATACACTGTTACTTTCTTGATTTTTGCTTATGAGTTTTTGGTTTTAATAAAGCGAAACCATTTGTATATGGTGATTCGATAAACTTTCTTTCAATCAAGACTCCGAGTAATTTATTAAGGGTAACACATTATCTGAATGTAGTTCATAAATCTCCAATACGGGCCTCATAGTGGTAAGAACTCTGCTGAGCTGATCAGGACGTTTTGCTGTGGATCCTGAACTTCACATTATACTTCCCATCAATAAGAGGTAAGGGCTGTATTTGTTCATGACAGCTACAGATGGGGGAAAAGTGTATATATAAGGTTTATTGGTTCATTAAAAGCGAAATTACACAACACTTTCTCCTTGCAACTCTGCCATGCACACCATAGTTGTTTTGTGTTCTTCTGATGGTGGACTCATGAACTTTAACTTTAGCCAATGTGAGAAAGGCCTTTAGTTGCTTAGACGTTGCCCTGGGGTCCTTTTCAACCTCGCAGACTATTACACGTCTTGCTTTTAGAGTGATCGTGGTTGGTCGACCATTCCTGGGGCAGGTACTAACAATGGTCTTGAATTTGTTCCATTTGTACATAATCTGTCTGACTGTGGATTTGTGGAGTCCAAACTCTTTAGTGATAGTTGTGTGACCTTTTCCACAGCCTGATGAGCAACAATAACTATTTTTGGTCCTCAGAGATCTCCTTTGTTCATGCCTTGAGTCACTACTACAAACATGATCAGACTTTGATAGATCCCTGTTCTTTAAATAAAACAGTGCACACAATGACACCTGATTTGTACTGTAAAATGTACTGTACTGTAAAATGTGCTCACAGGCATTTTTTTTTTCCATGAGACTGGACTGTTTAATAAACCTGCATCTACAACAGAGACAAAATTATATCCCTTATAGGGCCTCTTTCATTAAAGTGCAGCGAAATGTAGTCAGAGCAACATATTTCACGTATTTCCACTGGCATGGTTTATATGTCGTGCTCTAGAGTTAAAGTGTATCTGCCTTACTATTTAAACAGTAGGCAATATACAGTAAATACATCTGTCTCATGGTCCTCCTCTGAATTCACATGCTTGTGATGTTTCAATTTAATAATTAATTCAGATTAAGAACTTCCTTGTTCACTCTTTTGTAATAATCATGTGAGGGGCCAAAAATAACATAAGTAAATAGATATGTCACACAGGTGACATACTTTCACCTATATGCTACTTCCTCATTTTCCTTACAATAGCCATACATAACTTGGATGAATTACATTCGGCAGCAGATTCTGTTCAGTGGAACATATAGAGATCTTCCCTCAAGCCTTAAAAGAAGAAGGTACTAATTCTAAACAATTTCCCCCATTTCTAAAAGCAGGGGCACCTGAAGAACAAATCACTCTCAGTAATTTACACTGATCGGGTAAGACAAACTAAACTGAATGACTTGCCATTTTTATTTCAGGTACCAACATTATTGAATTACTGTGACATTGACATCAACTATTTACTAATTATGGCCTCTAATGAACTAACTATTTATGAAAGCATTAGGGAACTTATGAAAGTGTTAAGAAACATCAGAAAACCTTTATAAACTCAAAATTCAAAAAATGTTCGTGAATCTTCTTACCAATGCTTTTCTCAGTCACAGAAATCTTTAGAGATGGGGAGCAATCAGTCAGTTCTAAAAGACAAAGGCTACACATTAGTAAGTGAACAAGGCAATCAAATCCTGGTGAAAAATAAGGGTGGTGATGAGTTTGTCATTAAAAAGCTGAATGTCAGGTGCAACCAGGTAAGACAAACTCTTTGTTTATAATGATATTTAAATGTAAAGATAAATTCTGAAATATGCATTTCGGTCTGTTTTTAGGGCAATGTATCAAAATTTCTCCAAAAGCTCAATCATCCACACATAGCCGAACATAAGGAAATCATTCCAGGTTAAAATAATCTTTACATTGTTAAACCATTGTTGTACCTAAAGCTACATGCAGGGCTATGCAATGATATATGCAGATATTAATATATGATATCAAAGTGCACTGTAATGAATGAATATGCTTTCAGATCGTCGCTGTCTGTATCTTGTAATGGAGCTCTGTAAGGGTGGAGATCTCCCTCAGATAATCAAAATAAAAAAGGAAACAACTGAGGTATGTTTGTAAAATTCAGAGATGATGCAAATTAACCAATTGCAAAGATTTAGAGAATTAAACTGTAGTTGACAGTTGTTCCCATCTTTATAAGAAACAAAAAGATCTGATGAGAAAGAACTTAAAATTAGACATTTACAGTCAAACCAAAAAATATTTAGACACGAGATATAATGTTTGATATTTTTTACTAGTGGGTGCAGGACACTATATTTCATTTATGTAAGTGAGGATAGCAAAATAAAGTAAACTGTGACATATTATACCACTTCATATAGTGCACTACCAGTAAAATTGATGAAAATTTGGGACCAAAAATTATTCAGACACTTTGACCTGATCATGTTTTGCTTAAGTGTTGTTTCTTTAATTGCTAATGCAAACTTTTTACACCATAGTCTGAACAAAATGAAGCATTACTTGGTAATTGGTTGACCTAAATTGGTTTTATCTAATTGGTGTTCTTAAATTTAACAGCTGACAGCTATTCAATCGAATTCATTACATACCTTTCTATCAAAGTTATCAGACATTATCAAGATTAATTTGTTCTGACAGTTTAACTCGAGTTCTTGTCATATTTTATTACCATTTTCTAAACTATAGTGAATAAACTGTGATAATGTGAGAAATGTTGAAGGTATCTGAATAAATTTTGGTTTGACTATCTACAAATGTAATGTTATCTGTAAATGGGAACTGATATTGTGATTTTTATTGCAGTGTTCATGTGTTGTTATGTTGAATATTTTCTATATTGTGTTTTGTTTTTTTTTCAAATCGGAAGCTTTAACGTCAGCAACAAAAGCAGAGCCGATCCTCCCTGTATGTGAAGTGCCACCAAAACACCAGGGGCCCCTTGCTCTAAAAGAATATTTCATTTTAGTTTCGTTTTTGATTTTGGCCAGAAAACATGAATGTTCCTTTCCTTTAATGTGGTGCCCTGTCACCCTTTCTACATAACATTCAAATCAGTCAAATCATGTAACGGGACTGTCGTATACAGTCTCCTGTCGTTCTTGCTCGATAATAAAAAAACGAGTTAATAGCGCACTGAGCTGTGGATGTGACACTGTTCCCAAGTGCTTTCCGTGTGCACGATTCGAGATGGAGTGAAACACAGACAAATATAGGCTACAAAAGAAAAAAAGAAAAGGAGAGAATTACTGACTGCTCTTCACTCAGTATTGTTCATAACATTGTTATGAATCAATGTATGTTAAATTTATATGGTGAAGTCTATGCTGTGTTTTATTTTTAGATTTGATTACTTTAATCAATTTCTGTATAGTAGACTATTATAACCTAAATTGTTTATTTTATTTGTATTTTTTTTGTTGTTGTATTTCTCTTATTGTTTGTAATTTTCTTACTTTTTGTATTACTGACTTTATTTTTTAACTCACTGTTGTTTGTTGATAGTGAAACTGCTCTGAAAGCAGCAGCTTAAGGGGTTGTGGAGCATTTTGGCATTTTTATGAACGCGCAGACAGCATATATAGTTAGTTAATGCTGCGCTTTTATTTTGATTAGATAATCATCAAGTGTTCAAGAATAGAGGCAGTTAAAGTATAAAGTATGTGAGAGTATACATACAATATCCACATGTATCAACCCTCTACATTGCGAGTAAATCACTCGCATATGCGACAGATTTTGCATATTCCTTCTCTAACCAGGCTTGTGCAGACACCCTTAGATTTTAAAATCACACTAGATAAAAGAGGATTACAAATTAAAGGTTCTTCAAGAACCCACTCATGGGTTATCTCAGACTGCTGTCTTTTAACAGTAAATATTTGCCATGCATTTAATACTGATGCGTAAAAAGAAGGGAGTCCATTAAAATCCACTTCCTTCAAATTCATTAAAAAGAGGTGTCTATCCAAGTTCATCCGCCCCACTCTATTTAATAAAACACAAGCTATTTCTGTCCAGTTCTGAGACTGGTGATAGAGGAGTCTTTGTGCAGTCTGCAGTCTAAATGCAGCTACTTTGGACTTAATGTCCATAAGGCCTTGGCCTCCTTCACTTAACTGCGGATACAATACTGACTCTCTTAGCCAATGTTGTCCATTCCAAAAAAAGTTAACAAACACTTTTTGAATTTCCCTAAGTAATTCATCTGGTGGGTTCAACACAATTAGTTTATGCCATAGGACAGAGGTGGCACGATTATTTATAATCAACACTCTTCCTCTATAAGACAGTTGAGGTAAAATCCAGTTCCATTTTGATAATCTATTGCAAATGTTATCTTTTACACCTTCCCAGTTTTTCCTTTGATGCACTTCTGAACCTTAAAAAAGATGCCCAAAAACTTAAAACCATCTTTTCCCCACTTTACATTTCCAGGAATAACAGGTAAAGGCATTGTTCTTTTATCATTACACCAAAATGCTTCTGTTTTACTCCAGTTCAGTTTTGCAGATGATGCTTTATCATATAAAGAGATACTGTAATTAACAATATCAATATCTCTTTGATCTTTCACAATTACAGTAATACCATCTGCATATGCTGTTAAAGTAAACGCATTGCAGTTCCCATCAACCTTTAAACCAGACAGATATTTTCTTAATAGAGACAGGAGTGGCTCCATTGCTAAATCATATAACTCTGTCAAAAGCTTTTTCCTGATCCAAGAGCAAAAAGCCAACATTCACTTCATCTAGTTTGGAGTAATCTAAAATGTCTATGATCATAAAAATTGTATCATATATTGTTCTTTCTGGAATGCAGTAGGATTGATCTTGATATATTAAATCTCCCAGTACAGTTTTCAGCCTATTTGCCAAAACTTTGGCTATTAGCTTATAATCAGTTGTTAAAAGTGACACAGGCCTCCAGTTTTTAAGAACACTCAAGTCACCCTTTTTGATAATAGTGTTAATACTGCCCTTTGGCAACTTGTGGGAAGGCATTTCCCTTTCACGGAAACTTCGAACTGCGTCCTCTAGGGGTCGCTATGGGGAACGCCTCGTCTTGACCCGTGTCTGAAGCATACATTGAAAACACCAACAACACATTGGCCGAGCGACAGCCATGATGTCACTACCGGTGCGACTATAGTATAAATAGTTGCCGGGAGAAAACATCATCCTCTTCTTCACTGACTGTTTTGTTTGAAGCGTGCACGATGATCTCTATTCATTCATTATGTGAGCACTAGCAAAGCGTTTAGAAGATGTGTGCATCCGTGTCATCGCTATTTGACACCCGATGACACACACAATCTATGCGTTGTTTGTTTGGGCGAAGAGCACGCACGCGATGTCCTCGAGGGGGCAATCTGCGTGCACTGCGAGCTTTTTCCAATGAAAAAGCTCCGTTCTCGTTTGTCTCTTTGTTTCGAGTAAAGAGGGGCAGCCATCTGCTTCCCGCGGCTCAGGACCCGCCGCTGCTGAGGCACGGAGGAGAATGAGCTCGTGGGGATCGCAGGTGGACCTGGCCGATG